ACATGGACCAAAATCTCTGAGGAATGTTTCCAGCACCTTGTTGAATCTATGTCACAAGTAACTAAGCCAGGTCTGAAGGCAAACTGGAGTCAAACCTGGTACTAGTGAAGCCCTTACTAACTAGGTGGCATGTGAGTGCATGTTTAGGCCACAGAGTGACAAATTGGTTATTTGCTTCTGCTTCTCTCCTGAGAGGAAAAAGCTCAGCAACTCACAGATGAGTGACAGCCTTTGTAAGCTTTACGTGCTTTACTTAAGTGCCAAACAAAACGCCACAGTACATTGTGCACAGCTGACCCTTCTCTCCTGAGGGTCAGTGAAAGGCAATAGCATGAGTTCATCACGGTGTTCGGATGTGTGGAATGCCCTCATTCCAGCGTAATCTTACACACTCTAGCCTTCGCTGATCCTTTAACCTATAAGCAAACACACAGACTCGCCTCGCCCCAGTTTCACAACCTTGCTTGTGTTTTGGTGGAAAAATGTCTCCTGGTAATGTTGTTTGTCTGTTTGCAGAAATAGAAAGTTGTTGTTTGTTGTTTCAGAACATCCTGAAGAGAACAAAAGAGGGGACGAAAGAGGAGCAGACAGCCTCAAAGGCTTTGGCCTCTGTGTCCAAGGTAAACACGCCTCACTCCTCAACCACCCTTCTGCCTGCAAATGCGGCATATTTGAGTCTAAAGTGTGCCGTATGCTTCTGGAAATTAGATGTCAGCTATTGTCTGAATGAAGGATTTCCTACTGAATCAACTCAGTGAGTCACAGGTGCCATTGAGGGCAGTGGCAGGCTGAGATTAGGTTTATTAAAAGAGCCAGAGGAATAAACTTGATACTCCCAGTGAGACACACGGTTTTATACAAGGATGGTTGAGAGGAGGTTTTTTTAAGTGTGAAAATAAAAGGGATCTGCTAAGTGATTTCATCATTTTGTTTCAGATCATTGATGTGTGTAACACAGAGGTGGGAAAGATGAAACAGATGGAGGAGCTGATTCATATCTCTAAGACACTGGAGTTTGACAAGCTCAAGGTAACGGCAGTGTTGATGTTTGTATTCAGCTTATGTGATCTCTTTTATTTTGAAGAGTCGTAAATGCCACCTGTCCTCTTCAGGCCATCCCCATCATCTCCCAGACTCGATATCTGGAGAAAAAGGGAGAGCTCCAGGAAATGTCCAAAGGAGCGACTCTCTTCAACATGAGGGCAAAGTTCACTCCCATCTACTTCTTCCTGTTCAACGACCTGCTCGTCATCGCTGCCAGAAAGGGGTTAGGTTCAAAAACAAAACTGACACAACATAAAATGCTCTTAATTTGTTGACCCATCTTTGATGCATCATTGATTCGTTCTGCTAGATTCTGATTAGAATTGAAAGCGTACACTGAATTTTTCAGATGTTGTACACATCATGCATTCACAGTCCCTTTACAGCTTAATAAATGCATCTTTCTGCTTCTGTGACAACAGCTACATAAATTTGCTTGATGTCAGTGGATATCAAAGCCTATCTGTAAACTGGAGATATTTACTAGCCTCAGCTTTATGCACTAATTCAGAATTATACATTTTGGTTAATCATTAAACACTGTGAGGGTGGTCTCTGCCTATGCAGCTACCCTTGGAAAAGCCCAGAAACTATTCTAATACTTGCCAAACTATTACATCTTTAATGATATATAGTGAGCTCATTACAGGGGAGGTCGCCGAATGTCGTCTTTATGGGGAAAGAGTTAAATGCGTGTCATCACTCGTTTAAATAACTCCAACTCCCTAAAATTTAAGGGAAGGTGGTGCCAAAGGTGCTAGACGTTAAGAGTATACACAGCATGCGATATACCTGCTTCCTGCTAGACCCGTTTTCCTTCTCATATTTTTCTTGTAATTAGCTTTTGTCTACATTGTCTCAAACAGCGCGGAGCGTTTTGTGGTGCTCGACCATGCCCATCGCTCTCTGGTGCAAGTGCAGCCAATAGAGGAAAGCGGGACCAGTGGGAGCCCCTTCGAACACTGCTTCAATCTCACGCTGCTGGAAAACCACCAGGGACGCCTGTTTGAGCGGCTCATCAAAGCTTCCTCTCAGTGAGTGGTCGCGCGTGTGTGTGTGTGTGTGTGTGTGTGTGTGTGTGTGTGTGTGTGTGTGTGTGTGTGTGTGTGTGTGTGTGTGTGTGTGTGTGTGTGTGTGTGTGTGTGAACAGCATGTGCTTGACTCTAACATCTGCAGTATCTTGAATGAAAATAAGGGAAAAACTAGACATGAAGTCAAAGTCCAATTCAAGTAGTTCATGCTGTTTACATAGAAGCAGCATGAATCGGGTAATTTGACTCATGTAAAAGAAACATTTAATTTCCTAAAAGGAAAAATTGTAGATGAACTGCGAGTTACTCAAAGGTTATGTGAGATGGAAATGAGAAATTAGATCCACCAAGAAACAGTTCTGGCCTAAAAGTGTAACTAGATTACACTCCTGCCTGGCCACTCCTTGAAAATGTTGCCCTGGATGAACAGCTGTTCTGACTTTCAAAGTAAAAGCTTAACGAGCACAAAGAAAAACATTCACACTACATTACAAATTAAGTGAAATTATGAACCAAATACAACAAACACATGTGCAAAGTCCTGCCCCCCCTGATTCATGCCTGGGAGCCAGTTTGGAGAGCATACAAGCTGACGTCCTGGATGTTGACAGACTTGCTACAACCGGCTTACAGGGAAGTTAAACATGGAAAAAAAGGATGTTTGTCATTTCAAACAATTTTCATTGTGATGTTTGTTTATTATATGCATGGTTGGCAAGGTATCATGTGTCTTAATTGCCCCTTGAGGATAAATATGGTCTTTTTGACTTTGACTTGATGACAACATGATCTGACGGAAACATTGTTAGGATGTTTTTGCAGGTTATAAAATATCCCCAGTGTTAGGTGATCCAGAGCAATCAAAAACATGTCCAGGATGTGATTGAGGCCAGAGAATCCATAATGCTCTATGCAAAACATTTTCTCTGTTAAACATTTTGAGGATGTGTTGTTGGTGAGTTAGGTGACATAGTTTTCCTCTAACACCATCACAGTAAAATGCAAATATCGGTCACTATGCTAATAGTATAATGTGTGACTCCAGGGAATAAATCCTTCAAATTTAGTACTTAGGCCAAAAACATCTAATGTCGATCCATTCGTGTATCCACTTCTGCTTATCCAACTCGGGGTTGCAGTTAGGCTGAAGCCTGTCTGAGCCGTCATAGGGTTGGAGAGCACCCAGTACAGTGGTTAGCGCTGTACAGCACAGTAAAAAGGTCCCTGGCGTCCTGCGTGTTCTCCTTGTGTCTGTCTGAGTTCTCTCTGGTATTTCCAGCTTCCTCCCACAGTCCAAACACACGCCTGTTTGTGTAACTGGTAGTTTTGGCGACGTATCAAGGTTAAACTCAAGATCTCTTGACCAAACCATTATAAAAGTGATTTGCTAAACTTAAATGAACCTAAATATAATGCTGGGAACATTCTTCAGAGATGTGCCAAAATGCAATGTGAGGATTTTTAGATTCAGAAGACTGTGGGACATGTTGAGCCTCAGAAACGGGTTGCTATGGTTTTCTGTTGACCTCCTCTTCTCCTCACACCTCGAAGGAGGTGAAAACTCTTCCTACTGTTACATCAGGAATTACACGTCACTGGTATGAGACTAAACTGTGGCCGTCTCCATCAACAGGTCGGACATGGACAGGTGGATGGCAGCTTTCCCCAACACGGCCAACCAAGAGAGAGATGATAAGGAAGTGATTTACGAGGACTGGGGTGAGGACAAGCGCATACAAAATTCACACACACCGAGTGTTATGCGAGTTATGAAAGTTTACAATTTTATATGTGTCTGTGGATGGCAGACTGTCCTCAGGTGCAGTGCGTGGAGCAGTACATCGCCCAGCAAGCCGACGAGCTCAGCCTGGAGCCCACTGAGATCATCAACGTCATCCGCAAAACCAACGAGGGTAAGAGCATCGGGTGGGAAACGTTTATCTTTAGAAAACAAGCTGTGGCAGCTGAAACCGAAACTAATTATTATTATTAACATTTGTTACACAGAAAAAGTTACATGTACTAACATGACTTTGTATCACCTCCCTGGACTCTGCTTGTTTATATGCCTCCATCCTCCAACCCTCGCTTTAGCAGTTTATTTGCTTTGACTTTCTTGCATGAACGACGCAGAAACCGCCAATATCTCCCCCTTCCCTTGTTTGTCCTCTCCCCATTCTCCTCCCCTCTCTTTTTTTTTTTCTCCCTCCCCCCCGAATAGGCTTGTACGAAGGAACCCGCCTGTCGGACGGTCAGAAGGGCTGGTTCCCCGTAGCGAATGTCATCGAGATCACAAACGAACACGTGAGGAGGAGGAACCTCCGGGAGCGCTACAGAGTCATGCAAGCAGCGACTTTGGTTGCAAACAGCAAGACCCGCACGCTTCAGTAGATGTTTACAGTAAATGACGTGGACACTTTTGAGAAAGACAGTTACTCAGGGACTGTGCCACGTGAGCTGCCAGTTTCTAGCAAACAGGAAACGAAAGGTAAAAGCAGAAGGGCGACCACGACGAGACGGCGGACACACACTCGAGCTGCTGCAGCATGTGCTACTTCAGCAGAAGAAACAGAAAGTATGTGACAGCAGAGGATTAGCTTACATATCTCCCTAACTGCAAGGATCCACCTCTTCCTGTTTTCCGTGCAGCCCCACGCCAACACCTCTTCACAGACTGCTGTGCCAAACTCACATGCCAGTCATTCGTGGCATTGTTCAAACGCTCGTATGCTCAGACAGGAGCTGGGTGTTGGCTGGAAACATTTAGTTGTCAATACACAAACAATGCCCTGTTTTTTAGTGCTATGTGACACTTGGTTTGCCGGATTAGAGAACAGAAGGAGTCTTAAAAAAAAACACAAAAACCCCCAAATGCATCTCAGCTGAAAGATGTTAACGTTTTAAAATTTCACTAGAAAACAGACATAAAATCAGGAAGTGCCTTTTAATTGAAAACAGAAGTACACAATTGTGAAGTACGGGGTTTATGCTTTCAGCATGTGCAAACTGTGCTTGAACTTTGTTTTTTATGTTTTTAGTAGTTGTGCTTTTGACTAGCTTGTTAGCTTGTCCACCACTGTGGAGTGGTGCTGTAGCTCCCCCTGCAGGGCATCAGGAAATGGGGTCTGGTCTGTATAGTATGTTGTAAATTACAACAGGGTGATTCTCCTTCAGGACATATTTTAATAAAACCTTTTGTCTTTTTAACTGGCTCTTTGTTTCTCGGTAACGTTTACTGAACATTATAAAGTTCTCGTCTGTCAGAGGAACCTGTGCAAAATCCAAAACTGGGTAAAGTGCAAATACAATGCTCAAACACAAGAGCCGAGAACATAAATATTGAGCAGTCACTGTGTGATATCAACATCCATAAGGCTCAGGAGCACGTCCACGGCATCGCCCTCCAAATCTGAGAGCCTCTGTTCCTTTGCTTCCATAAACCCTTCAAAGACACTCACTTTGCTCTTGATCACTGGGGATGTCTTCAGGGGAACGGTGCTACTTCCTAATGCAAGTGGAGCTTCAGCTTCCTGGTGTGTTTGAGGGCTTGGGCATAGCAGAGGACCGGGAGGAGTGTTTGCTGTTTCATTTCGGTTTTGGGCCTTCAACAAGTCAACATAATTTAGTTTTAATTGACTCGAGAGAGTGTCAGCGACTTCAAGCTCTGCATCTGACCAAACCGTTCCCTCTATCAGTGCACCACGAGCAGGTTTGTACCCCTCCTCACCATCCTTGGCACAAGGATGACTGAGGTTTGAGTCATCGTCCATTTGGTAGTGCAGTTTCAGCAGGTTAGTAACGGCCTGGTCCTCTTCCTGTGTAAGCTGGAGGACAACCTGCCTTGGCTGCACCTGAGGGTGAATGGTTTGTGTTCTCCAAGTGGGGCTACCCAGATCTCTAGTGGGGTGTGGTCCTGATCTGAATGGGTCTGGGCGGTTTGGTGGGGCCAGGCAGGCGGACATGATGGGTCGTGGCGTGTTGAGCTGCAAGCAATCAAATACCTGAGAGAAATGAGATGAAAGAAAGAACAGCTGTGTGTCGCTCCAAAAACAACACATCATTTGTTCCCATTCCTTTTGCACCTTTCACTGAATCAAGTAGTGATAACTCGGACAGGCATCAAATAGTATTTTGGCACCAGGGTGTCCTTAAAAGAGAGGACACCCTGGAAAATTAGCAAGTGGAGCATGAAATAGCAAGAGTCAGGCCTGAAAAAACTATCTACAGCAGATGAACAATATCTGAACCTCGTGTCTTTAAGAATCAGGCGATAAACATCCAACAAAGACATAACACACATCTACTGTTCACTGAAGCATCATCAGAAATGGCCTAAGTGGAAGGCTGGCTGTCAAGAAGCCATTCATAATGAAGAGAAACGGATAAAACGGAAGAACTGCACTGATGGAGGGATGAATCCAATGTGAAACTTTCAGTTCAAATTGTTAATAATGCGAGGAGAGAGGTACGACAATAAGTGTCTACAGCCATTTGTAAAACATGGTGGAAGCCTGTCATGCAGTCGCATCACAATACACCAGCACAAAAACTGACTGAACGACTCAAAGAGCAACTAAAAGAAAACACAATTATCATGAAGCGTTTGATGTGTGCATTTTTCTATGTGGCCTAAATGAACACTGTTATTAAAACGCTGACACACTGGACTCTTTCCTGTAACCACACAGCGATTATGAAATCTGATTTATATGATAAGTTAATTTCCACAGGATGGTACTTCAGTTTGTGGATGCATTGAGTAGAGGACGATGGGTAAACAGAGGTGGAGGCAAAATGTAGTTTACAAAAGACCAACAATATTTTTCAAAGTTATCTGAGAGTGAAGTCTTGATGACAGACTCTGACAGAGCATTTAGTTATACTTAAGCTGTGGTATTGTTGTGTGGGACTCTGGCCCCTGGAAAGCCATACAAGTCTTTATTTGGGCATGCAGGAACTAATCCTTAGAAAATGAATGAGTATGAAAAATGGAGCTTCTCCACAACAGTGTGTTTTGTTGGTGCAATTATGAAATGGTCTCTCACTCACCTTTAACCCACTGAGTCTATTGGGGATCCTCCTGCCACAGCACATGGTGGGGTCAGTGTAGAAGAACTCTGCGGGCGTGGTGGGGTGAGCTGGGGAGAAATCAGGGAGTCCTCTCAGAGGTTGAGCAGCTGGATGAAGCTCCCCTTGAGCCGGTTTAGGTAAAAGTGACTCACCTGTTTGAGCGTTTTCTTGACTGTGGCGTGGGAGGCCTGCGGCCCTGTACAGCGGCAGGAAGGAGGGGTGGTACAGGGTCCTGTTGGACAGAGGGGGCAGGACCGTCTTCCTGGGTGTCTGATGGAGGACGGACGATGAAATCACCACCGCTGACCCGCAGGACCTGCGCATGCAGTCCAAGTGAGCTAAAGAGTGATGTCACTCACCGATAAATGCTCCTCGCTGTTCATGGTGGTTCAGCTGTGTTGCTCGAGAGGTAAGGGTAGCATCTAACTACTAACTACTCATAAACTTGTTTATGCTCCGTTAAAAGAAGTCGGGGTAGTGACACCTGCTGACTGACGTATGAAACGCAGTGTGACTGCATATATGTATTTCCGGTCATGCTCTTATTCATATTTGTAAAAATTAAAATTAAAAAATGATCCGGAGAAAAAAAAAGTCAATGTCTCTAATAAAGTGATTAAATTCACATTTTTAATCAAATGGTACAAGAAACCATGCAGTGCATGACTTACAGCAATTAATCAGGCCGACGTCCTCTTAGATAGTTTAGAGTTCCAAAAAATGTCAGGCTTTTTTGCAATATAAACGCATGAGTCGCTTTATTAGGTTCACAAATGGACCACCCCATGTTGTGTAGCTTCCTGGATTTTATACTTAGTGGGCTACATTCTTCTTTATTATGAAGGCTATACGGTGCATAAATCAAAATTCACATGTTTTATGTAACTGAAATGTTTAATTATCTGGGCTAAAGAAAATAAAGTTATAGACCATTTCTATGAAACGTGTATACTTACTGCATTTGGTATACACACACACAGCAGATTACAGGGATGTAACACCTGCATGTGTAAAAACACGGCTTTGATTTTGCTACCCCATTTGATTTCCACGCTATGTTCGGGAAAATTTCTCTAGATCCACACCTGTGCACCCCATGTGCTTCACTTGTGTCAAGCCAGCCTCCAATTCGAGACTTGCAGTCAAGCCAGCCTCCAGTTTGTTTTACGTTCCCTGTGTATTCAAAGTATTACGGGAATGGATGTGGAAACCGGATTTCAAAATAAAAGCCAACTTCGAGTGAATTAACAGATATGTTAAGAACATAATAACATATAATTTAGGCTTCTTTTTTTTTTTTACAAACTCTAATGTTAGATCTATATGACACAGCCTTGTACCCTAATTGTGCCCTGTCACTATCAAGGCCATCTTATTTTGGATTTCAAAGTAAAAGCCCTGTGAATCTTCATTTTTGAACTACTCTTTCAATGACTTAATAATGCTCTTAAAAGCAAAAGTCGTATTTCCAAATACTATTTGAACTTTATATCAACACTTTCCAACCACAGTCTTTTTCACAGTGATACCATATCAATATCAAGTCAGTCTGATTTTGCCTTTCATAGTAATGGCCCTTTGAAATTGCCGATATTTGATTTAATCTTCTAACGATTCAAAATGTTCTAAAATGAAAAATTCTTGTTTCCACAGGGTAATTCCACCTTAGATCAACAGTATACAGCCCCACAGTGATACCATATCAATATCAAGTCATTCTGATTATGCCTTCCAAAATAAAAGACTTTTTAAATTGTCCATAATTGACCTACCTTTCAGTGATTTCAAAATGCTCTAAAAAGGAAAATTCCTGTTTCCACAGGGTAATTCCACTCCAGATCAACAGTATACAACCTCACGATGTTACCATATCAATATCAAGACATTCTGATTTTGCTTTCAAAAATAAAAGCATTTTCAAACTGCCCATATCTGACTTGCTCCTGGAACAATTTCAAAATGCTCTAAAATGGCAATTCCTGTTTCCACAGGGTAATTCCACCTTAGATCAACAGTATACAACCCCACAGTGATACCATATCAATATCAAGTCACTCTGATTATGCCTTCCCAAATAAAAGCATTTTTAAATTGTCCATAATTGACCTAACTTTCAGTGATTTCAAAATGCTCTAAAATGGAAATTTCCTGTTTCCACAGGGTAATTCCACTCCAGATCAACAGTATACAGCCCCACAGTGATACCATATTAATATCAAGTCATTCTGATTATGCCTTCCAAAATAAAAGACTTTTTAAATTGTCCATAATTGACCTACCTTTCAGTGATTTCAAAATGCTCTAAAATGGAAAATTCCTGTTTCCACAGGATAATTCCACTTTAGATCAACAGTATACAGCCCCACAGTGATACCATATCAATACCAAGTCATTCTGATTATGCCTTCCAAAATAAATGCCCTTTCAAATTGAGCATATACGACCTACTTTTTTAACGATTTCAAAATGCTCTTAAACAGAATTTTGCTGTTTCCACAGGATAATTTCACTTTAGGTCAACAGTATACAACCTCACGATGTTACCATATCAATATCAAGTCATTCTGATTATGCCTTCCAAAATAAAAGACTTTTTAAATTGTCCATAATTGACCTACCTTTCAGTGATTTCAAAATGCTCTAAAATGGAAAATTCCTGTTTCCACAGGATAATTCCACTTTAGATCAACAGTATACAGCCCCACAGTGATACCATATCAATATCAAGACATTCTGATTATGCCTTCCAAAATAAATGCCCTTTCAAATTGAGCATATACGACCTACTTTTTTAACAATTTCAAAATGTTCTTAAACAGAATTTTGCTGTTTCCACAGGATAATTTCACTTTAGGTCAACAGTATACAACCTCACGATGTTACCATATCAATATCAAGTCATTCTGATTTTGCTTTCAAAAATAAAAGCATTTTCAAACTGCCCATATCTGACTTGATCCTGGAACAATTTCAAAATGCTCTAAAATGGAAAATTCCTGTTTCCACAGGGTAATTCCACTTTAGATCAACAGTATACAGCCCCACAGTGATACCATATCAATACCAAGTCATTCTGATTATGCCTTCCAAAATAAATGCCCTTTCAAATTGAGCATATACGACCTACTTTTTTAACGATTTCAAAATGCTCTTAAACAGAATTTTGCTGTTTCCACAGGATAATTTCACTTTAGGTCAACAGTATACAACCTCACGATGTTACCATATCAATATCAAGTCATTCTGATTATGCCTTCCAAAATAAAAGACTTTTTAAATTGTCCATAATTGACCTACCTTTCAGTGATTTCAAAATGCTCTAAAATGGAAAATTCCTGTTTCCACAGGATAATTCCACTTTAGATCAACAGTATACAGCCCCACAGTGATACCATATCAATATCAAGACATTCTGATTATGCCTTCCAAAATAAATGCCCTTTCAAATTGAGCATATACGACCTTAAACAGAATTTTGCTGTTTCCACAGGATAATTTCACTTTAGGTCAACAGTATACAACCTCACGATGTTACCATATCAATATCAAGTCATTCTGATTTTGCTTTCAAAAATAAAAGCATTTTCAAACTGCCCATATCTGACTTGATCCTGGAACAATTTCAAAATGCTCTAAAATGGAAAATTCCTGTTTCCACAGGGTAATTCCACTTTAGATCAACAGTATACAGCCCCACAGTGATACCATATCAATATCAAGTCATTCTGATTTTGCCTTCCACAGTAAAAGCCTTTTCAAATTGTCCACAATTGACCTACCTTTCAGTGATTTCATCCATCCATCCATCCATCCGCTTCCGCTTATCCTTTTCAGGGTCGCGGGGGGCGCTGGAGCCTATCCCAGCTGTCATAGGGCGAAAGGCGGGGTACACCCTGGACAGGTCGCCAGTCTGTCGCAGGGCTAACACATAGGGACAGACAACCATTCACACTCACATTCACACCTAGTGACAATTTGGATTAATCAATTAACCTATCCCCACAAGCTGCATGTCTTTGGACGGTGGGAGGAAGCCGGAGTACCCGGAGAGAACCCACGCAAACACGGGGAGAACATGCAAACTCCACACAGAAAGACCCCGGCCTGATGGTGGAATTGAACTCAGGACCTTCTTGCTGTGCGGCAACAGTGCTAACCACCGTGCCACCGTGCTGCCGACATTTTTAAAACATTCTGAAATAATTGAAAGAGTATATCACATATGGACAAATTCGACGGGCCATTAATTTGAAAGGCGAAATCAGACCAACATGAAATTTACATGGTTTTACTGTCGGGTTGGATACTGTTGATCTAAAGTGGAATTGTCCTGTGGAAACAGCATCTTTCAATTTAAGAGCATTTTGAAATCGTTAAAAGAGTACGTCGTCTACGGGCAATTTGAAAATACTTTTATTTTGGAAGGCAAAATCAGAGTGACTTGATCTTAACATCGTATCTCTGTGGGGTTGTATACTGTTGATCTAAAGTGGAATTGTCCTGTTGAAACATGAATTTTTCATTTAAGAGCATTTTGAAATCGTTAAAAGAGTAGGTCGTCTATGTGCAATTTAAAAAGGCTTTTATTTTGGAAGGCAAAATCGAACTGACTTGATATTGATATAGTATCACTATGGGGTTGGATATTGTTGATCTGAGGTGGAATTACCCTGTGGAAACAGGAATTTTCCATTTTAGAGCATTTTGAAATCACTGAAAGGTAGGTCAATTGTGGACAATTTGAAAAGGCTTTTATTTTGGAAGGCATAATCAGAATGACTTGATATTGATATGGTATCACTGTGGTGCTGTATACTGTTGATCTAAGGTGGAATTACCCTGTGGAAACAAGAATTTTTCATTTTAGAGCATTTTGAATCGTTAGAAGATTAAGTCAAATATCGGCAATTGCAAAGGGCCATTACTATGAAAGGCAAAATCAGACTGACTTGATATTGATATGGTATCACTGTGAAAAAGACTGGTTGGAAAGTGTTGATATAAAGTTCAAATAGTATTTGGAAATACGACTTTTGCTTTTAAGAGCATTATTAAGTCATTGAAAGAGTAGTTCAAAAATGAAGATTCACAGGGCTTTTACTTTGAAATCCAAAATAAGATGGCCTTGATAGTGACAGGGCACAATTAGGGTACAAGGCTGTGTCATATAGATCTAACATTAGAGTTTGTTTAAAAAAAAAAAAAAAAAAAAAAAAAAAAAGCCTAAATTATGTTCTTAACATATGTTAATTCACTCGAAGTTGGCTTTATTTTGAAATCCGGTTTCCACATCCATTCCCGTAATACTTTGAATACACAGGGAACGTAAAACAAACTGGAGGCTGGCTTGACTGCAAGTCTCGAATTGGAGGCTGGCTTGACACCAGTTCTGCTTCAAGGTTGGACTTGTGCATTTAGAGACACTCCTCTACATACCTTGGTTGTAACTGATGGTTACTAGAATTATTGATGCCTTCTTATCAACTTGAAGCAGTCCGACCTCTCTCCTCTGAGACTTTCAGCGAGAGAACCCTGCTTCTCACTGAATTCTCTTTAATACCAGTCACTTAAACCCTACGGATAGTTGTGTGATACAATCCCAATAAATCAGCAGTTTCTGAAGCAGACCAGCACCATGCCATGTTCAAATGAATTTAAATCACCTGTCCTCATTCTGTTGCTCAGTTTAAACTATCATGCTGACCTTGTTTACATGTCCAAATGCTTTCATGTGACTGGCTGACTGAGGTACACTTCTCGCTGAAGTGTACTAGTCTGTAAGTTCACTACCTGTGCATTCTACTCTTTCCCAAGCTTCTCACTCTTTAATATATTTAGACCAAGATTCAAGTTTTCCTGAATATTTAGGGTAAGAAAAAAAAAATTAAACGTTGGAGAACCATAATTAGTCATTTCTACCCCTTTATGACCATGCGTTCCTTACAATGAAATCTCGACACTCTTACATCCTGTGTCAGAAACAGTCAAAAATGATGCCAAGTACACAGTAGTAAAGCTCTACGAGACAAATAATTTCAAAGTCGCTTTAATGCAGTTTTGTCCTATTTAAAATACAACTTTGTGACTTTAAGCTCCTGAAAGGGGATCACCA